CATGTGGTCACCTCCGGGGCAGGCGGGAATTGAACTCATGCGGAAGTGGCTTCAGCCTCTCAGTGCAGTGCTTTAACCCGCTGCGCCACCAGGGAGGGCCTGGGACCTCTTTTACTATGAAAAATATCCCAGGATGTACTTATATACAATGGAATACTACTCAGCAATCAAAAAGATAAATTCATGCCATTTGTGGCAATGTGGTTGGAACTAGACAGGATTATTCTAAGTGAACTAGGGAGGAGAAACCAATACTAATGGTGTCACTTATATGTGGATTAGAGAGAAACCAAACAAAGAATCAGACAAAAACAAGCGTTAACACTGATGCTTGAAAACTGACCATAGAGCTGACACATCCAGGAAGGGAGAGGACTAAGAGGGGAGAAAGTGGAGGTGGACAGAAGGGAGACAGGATGGGGTGGGAAGGGAGAGCATGATGGATAGTGGTGGTGAATTATGGGCACTTTGGTGGTGGGAAAAACAAATGTGGTGACCACATTTGAGGGAAGAAATCCTATACTATGAAAAAAATGAACAAGGATGTAAAATAATGACAAGACATTAAAAAATTCCCACCTTTTTAAAGTTTATTGAAGTTAATTATGCATTGTTAATTATATGATCTAATAGAAAATTTATGTTTTAATCAGCATTGAAAACTAGGAGTTTTCCATTAACTTTCCTTGGTGGATCAAGACAGGCATTATGGAGATTCTTGCCAGCTTCTTCTAGATTAGCTGATGATATCTCCTCAGCGAGGGTAGCTCATCCTGCAGCACATAGTGTGATAACAGAAGGAAATGTGTGTTGGTGTGACCGCCTAAAGTTACTGATGCGTCAGTGACAGCCTAATGGCAGACTTGAAAGAAAACAGCCTTACCTTCTACCTCTGGCCATTTCATTGTACATAATGACCTTTTTACTTCCTATAATCTGACTGACAAAGTGTGGTGTATTTTTAATGTGAAACACTGAGCCATAGCTAAAATAAAAAACCTGAACCACATGTATCATTATGGAAAAGAAAATCTCAAAAATGTTAGGTTTAACAAACAAGTTGCAGAAAATAAAATGTCCCAAAGGAAAAAATTAACACAAATGTTTACAAAAAACCTACACATATATTTATAATTATATATAATGTATGTTCAAAGTTATAGAATCATGAATGTAAATGCTGGCCAGCAACTTCAGAACTATTATCTCCACAAAGGTAAGGTAAAGGATGTTGTCATTTGGCAGTCTTAGAAAAATCTGACCTAATGTTAACATATATCAGGTCTCACTGTTAAAACGTTTCACAATTAAAGTTAAATTTTAAAACCATCCCCTAGTAATGATTCTCTTTATAAATTGCTATTACAAATTGCTCTTTATATTAAGGAATAGTCTCACGGGGAAATACTGCATCATTCCCCGACAATCATATGAAATTGACTTTGCCTAGTATTCCTAATCATAGATATAGATCATCATTTCTGTGACCTTCTAAGGGCTTAGTCTCTCATTTAAATGATGAATACTTTGAAATGTGCTTCCTCAGCCTTATCACTTATAAAACACCAGGTATTAATAACACCAGGATAATGCAATCCCATTTTGAGAGTGATCTCAATAGACCTCTATTTTTTCCTACAGGAGAGCTGCTTATCTGTGAAAAAATCTGTTGGGGGGCCCCTGGGCCATTATGCTGTTAATGTGACTTCTGCAGCAAAACTTTGCAGTCAAGGTCTATGTAACTATAATGGACGATGTATCCGAAAAACACCTGGGTCTTTCTCCTATCTGCATATGCCCGCAGGTAGTAATAAGAAGTTTGTTCTAGACAAAGGCTTCAGATTCACCATCTCTTCATCCAGTAAACTGAAGATAATAGAGGACATGAAGAATGCATTTGTGTGTCACTGCTATTATGGTTGGCATGGAGAGTCTTGCCAGAAACACTCTTCAGAACTCTTTAGAGAGAATAATAAGGCTGCAACAGCCAACTTTAACTTAACAGTTTTTCTCAGCATGATCTCATCTGTGATTCTGCTTAATTTTTTGTATCCCTACTACAGTATCAGTTTTTTTCCTTGCAATGCTGAAAAGTAAAATATGTTGATTTTTTTTTTCCTTTAACTTCAGTTGACTTCTAAAATATGTATTGGCTTTAAGTTAAGAAAAAAAGGGCAATAATTGGCTCCATTTATTGATATAACAATGAGTTATTGGGTGTTGACTTCATGCTATGCACTTAGATAAGGAAGTATAACAAAGTCTTGAGACCTTAAATTCTTTTTTAAAGAGATTTATTTATTTATGGATGTAAGAAGTGGGGTGTAGGCCAGAGGTGAGGGGTACAGGGTGAGAGGATTTATCAAAGACAGAGTGGGGAGCAGAACAGGCAGACTGGCTGAAGTACACTGCTGAGGGGAGCAGTGATGAGACAGGAGAGGTCTGCTGCGCTATGTGGGTCAGCTCCCTGGCTAAGGGTCGAACTCGTACTGCAGTGGCTGTGTATAGCCTCATAGTGCTGTGTTTTATCTCTTGTGCCACCAGGGAGACCCAAGAACTTAAATTCTAGTGGGAACATGTACACTAATAAATAAACACACACATCAAATGTGATAAGCACTGTGAGCACTAGTAAATAAAACAGTCGTGGCAAATAAGTAGTGAGTTAAGGTTTCGCTACTGCTATGACCTGAAGGCACAAGGAACAGGTGACAAATATATCTGAGAACATTCTTGGCATAGGAAAAAACAAGATGTGGAATATTTCAGACTCTCAAGTAGGCCAGTGTGGTTGACACAGGAGAAGGAGTGAGGTGAATGGGGAACCAGGTCACTAATGAACTTGATTAGAAGTAAAAGTCTGAGTGCAAGTACCTTTTATTTTATTAAAGATTTTCTTGCTTATGCATACAGAGCTGGGGTACAGACCAGAGCTTGCAGGGGTGGCGAGAGGCTTCACCAGAGACAGAGTGGGAAACAGAACAGGCTGATCGATAAAGTACACTGCTGAGGGGCACAGCAAGCCGGTCAGGAGAGGTGGGCCATGTGGGTCACCCGTAGGGTCGGAGATCCAACTCTCATTGAAGTGGCTGCGCTGGCTTGCAGTGCTTTGCTGTAATCCAGTGTGCCACCAGGGAGGGCCCACCTTTTATTTTTGTAATCATTGAAAAATTTCTGGATGAAAGTTGGTCAAATAAGATATACTGTGTATGATTAACTTTTTAATACACTTAAATTGCATAGGAACATTGCATAGGATCTATTAGGGGAGTAACTACAGGGGCCTTGAGACTCCAATCATATCAAAAAGAACTTGAAAGAAGGTCATATGGGGTGTAGAACACACAACAAAATGTTAGCTAAACAAATCATATGTTAGGTACTAGCTGTTTGAGCTGCAGAGACTGGAAATTGCTAAATAGTACATGTGATCTCAAGGCACCAAGTTAAAGTAATGAGAATCTGAACTGAGTGCTAGGAATTCAGTCTCAGTCCAAGTCACTAGGACTCCTAAAAATTCAGTTAGCAAACACCTGTATCAGAACGTCACCCTTATTACCCTTTTACAAGTTGAAATTTATACAGGTCTTTGAGTTGATAGTTGTTGGTAATAGTAAAGCACACTGTGCCTCTAAACAGCTCATTTTCTTCCAGTTCTCTATGGCAAGTCATTTGAAAAATCCATGTATCCCTTGACCAGACTTATTTATAATCCAGAGCATCTTCTTCTTTTTTAAAGTTTCAAAAGAGATGATAGTATCCCATCTGTTATTTCTCTCTTTAACGTAGATATTTTCTTGTCTGCCACCTTCCAAATATTGTAATTTGATTGATTCATCATTTACTAAGGGGAGAAGTGAAACTTAAAGAGGCAGTGAAATATACAAGCTAAATTGAGGGCTATTTGTTAAATCCCCTTATTTTGTTGGTATCCTGCTCTTCCAAGGGTGCAATTACAGTAATTAGATTGTTGTGCCCAAACAAGAAATATTTTTACAACTACCATAATTGGTCCTAAGCATGAAAAATAAAAGGAATGGTTCCTTCTATTGTTATAGTGATGTTTTTCAATGGGTATTACATCAGGATTTTGATATTCACTAAATTCCAATAAGGCAAGAAATGAAATTATTAATAAAAATTATCACCATTTTGAAGATGAAGAAAATATCATGTGGAAAGAGTGAGAGGTGTAACCAATTTTACCCAATCATCAGTGAATATATCAAGGACAGAGTGCTTATCACTGTCATTGATGATTTAAATTTACAGTGCCTCTTGCCCCTCCCTGGTGCAGCACTGAGAATCTAAAGCCGCTTCCGCATGAGTTCGATTCTGCCCGTTCCGGAGGTGATCACATGGCGTGGCAGACCTCTCCTGACCCGCCCGCTGCTCCCCTTAGCAGTGTACTTCGTGGATCTGCCTGTTCTGCTCCCCACTCAGTCTCTGGTGAAGCCTCTCACCGCCCCTGAGCCTCTGGCCTGTACCCCAGTTCTGTATGCACAAATAAATAAATCTTCAAAAAAAAATTAAAAAAAAAATTTACAGTGCCTCTAAAACTAGGAGCATAAGAATTAAGTCAGATGGCTGAAAACAGGGAAACAGAGAAAATAAATAGAAGAAAACAGGAAACAACCCAATTCTTTTGCCTAGAGGGGAATTATTTAACTTTTTTTTTTTAAGGATTTATTTATTCATACAGAACTGGGGTACAGGCCAGAGATGCGGAGGGAGAAAATATTCACCAGAGACAGAGTGGGGAGCAGAACAGGCAGATCTATGAAGTATACTGCTGAGGGGAGCAGTGGGCGGGTCAGGAGAGGTCTGCCACACCACGCGGTCACCTCCAGGGCAGGCGGGAATTGAACTCATGCGGAAGTGGCTTAAGCTTCTCAGTGCAGTGCTTTAACCCGCTGCGCCACCAGGGAGGGTCCAGAATTATTTAACTTTTAAAAATAAAAATGTTAAATTTCATTTCACTTAAATTCTTGTTATTTACTAACATTTATTTAGGTAGTATTGGTTTACAACATTCTATATGACTAAGAGTTATAAGGTCACATCTCTTCAGATGTATGTTATCACACCATACCCACCACCACGGTACCTGAAAACCAGAGGATTTGCCTTATTTCTAATAACCAGATACCTTAATTTTGGTTTGTAAAAAACGAAAAGAACTACGCCAGATAAAAACATTATAGAAAACAAAAACATTAATTTTTTGTTGTAACTTTTTGACCTGCATAATTTTGGGGGTTCCGAATATAATAATCAACTATCCCATTAAAAAATAAGAAATCATGTATGCCTAATGCTAAAAATAAACAGCTCCTTTTTTTCTCTTAAAGATCAAAATTTGAACTTTAATCCTATGCTCATGATAATTCTCTACTTATGATAATTCTCCACTTATGGTAATTCCCTAAGAGATCTTAATAAGGGAATCATTAATAATTACAATAGCTTATAAGTACTACAAATTACATTAGTAAATGAAGTATACCTTCGAGATGATGTGAAGGAGTACCCGTTCGAAATCCAAAGAACCATGTATTCCCTTCTGAATTACTTGAACACAGATACTTTGCAGGCACCTATCTCTTATTAATTACTCAAAAATCACAGTAGCCTTTATTTGAACATAAGCTTTTTGATCGGAGACTTGTTTTTTCCAAGTGTTTTAATTGTTCCCATCACTCATTTTTATATCAGAAGGAATGAATGACTTCATCTGAAAGTATGTTATAATCATAATCTCTGGTTCTTAGTAAATTAATGGTATTTTGTTTATTTTTATATTGGAGGTATTCTTTACAAAGCCTTCTAATCTTCTCTTCCACTTCAGTTTGGGATAACTTTCTTGCATTATTTTTCAAAAGGCTTCCTGTCCGCTCTCTCAGTTCATGTACAGAATCACCATTAGGACATTCTAGACATTCTAGATCTGTGCTTGGTGTTGCTTTGTCTTTTTGTCTTATTATAGATTGCTCATCTCTCCTTCTAGAACACTAGTTGGGAACACTAGTGTAGTCTTGAGCATATTTGGACATAGATTTTAAATTCATGCAATCATTTGTATGTGTGTGTGTATGTGATGGTTGCTTCTTTTTCTTAGTAGCTTTCTTTTAGTTTGTGGCTTCAATAGCGTCTTGAATCTCTCTGGAAATATCAATTTGATTTTTGTTGTTGTTTTTTCTTTTATTATTAGTTTATTTTGTGCCTTTTCCCATCTTAGTTGCAATCCCCGTGGAACTTCCTACCACCAATTCACCTGTGTGCCATTAGCATAATCCGGTGCACTTCATCCCTCCCCTTTTTGATCCCATTCCCCACTCCACCTCCATGAAATGTCTCTGGTATATAGTTGTTCTTTTTTTTTTTTTTTAATTCCAATTCCCCCCCCCCCCCCCCACACACACACCCTTTATGCTCCTGCTATGAGTGAAACCATCCAGTATTTTTCTTTCTGGCTTATTTCTTAGATTCTTCTTTTTTTTTTTTTTTAAGATTTATTTATGCATACAGAATTGGATTACAAGCCAGAAGTACAGGGGCGGTGAGAGGATTTACCAGAGGCAGAGAGAAGAGCCAAACAGGCAGATCAATGAAGTACATTGCTGAGGCAGGCAGCAAGGGGTCAGGAGAGGTCTCCTGAGCCATGTGGGTCACCTCTAGGGCTGGGGATCAAACTCGCACTGAAGCGGCTGTGGCCAGCCTACTGTGCTGTGTCCTAACCGTTGTGCCAAACAGGGGGTACCCTCAAAGGCATTTTATTCTGTTCCATTTTGCCTGGGATCTGCTATTCTGTTTATGAATTGCCCCTGTTTCCTATGGTTGATCTGCATCAAACATTTGGAGATCCTCGTCATCCATTCAAAATCATGAAAAACCAGAGTGATTGAAAAGGCAGTGTCCCCTCTCCCCCTACTTGTTTGTTTGTCTTTACTCAAGAGGATTATCCTGTTGCATGGAGGATGGACTCTAGGTTCTGTAAAGGGCTGAGGTATGTTTACAAAAAGTGTTCATGAGGAGCATGGAGTTGAAAATGGGCAGGTTGGTGGGAACCCTCACAATTACCAAAGTCAGGAGAAAATGATCATGGAGTGTAACTCACTCTGGGGTTGAACTACCTTTCCTTTTTTATCCCTTCCATGCCCACAGGAGAGACTTATTATATTGTTCAGCTATACTTTCGAACTTAGGCCCAAGGCTGAACTCTGGACCCTACTTGGGAAGATTTCTCAATATGTAATTGTACTGAGGTGTAATGTCTTTTCTACTGGACATTCTCTGGGAAGATGAGTGATTTGACTATTCTGCTGTACTGGAGACATTTTTTTTTTTAATTGACTTCTCTGATCATCATCCTATGTACTTCCAAATTTTATGTCTGCTATCTCTATTCTTAGGATTTTTTTCTCCAAGGTATAAGAGACAGTTTATGCATCTGAATAATTTTTATTTTTTAATTACTTTTTTTTTTAAAGATTTATTTATTTGTGCATACAGAACTGGGATACAGGCCAGAGGTTCAGGGGCGGTGAGAGGCTTCACCAGAGACAGAGTGGGGAACAGAACAGGCAGATTGACGGAGTACACTGCTGAGGGGAGCAGCGGGCTGGTCAGGAGAGGTCTGCCTCGCCATGTGGTCACCTCCAGGGCAGGCGGGAATAGAACTCATGCGAAAACGGCTTTAGATTCTCAGTGCTGTGCTTTAACCCGCTGCGCCACCAGGGAGGGCCCATTTAATTACTTTTTTAATATAATTTTTTAAAGATTGAAGTATTTATGCATGCAGAACTTGAGTACAGATCAGAGGTGCAGGGGTGGCAAGAGGATTCACCAGAGACAGAGTGGGGAGCAGAACAGGCAGATAGATCGACAAAGCACACTGCTGAGGGGAGCAGGGGGAGAGGCAGGAGAGGTCTGCTGCGCCATGTGGGTCACCTCCGGGGCTGGGGTTGCACTCGCACTGAAGCAGCTGCAGCTAGCTTGCAGTGCTGTGCTCTAATCCATTGGGCCACCACAGAGGACCTGAAATAATTTTTGATATGATTTTTAAATCAAAACAATATATATTTCAGTTGTTTCTTCCTTTGGCTCTTGTCACCCTTTCTTGTTTTCATGTTTATGCTGCTGGTTTTTTCTGAGGACATGTGCTGAAGATGACACATTAAGTCCATAGGCTCACTTTAACTACTGAACCATTAGCAGTAGTAAATTACTGTATTTACACCAGAGGATATGTAACTCCCCACACTGGGTAGTTCATCATCATTAAAGATAGTATACTCAGGTGTATTTTGAAAGTACCATGCATTATAGTGGATAATCCACTCGATCCCTTTTATTCTCCTCTTTTATCTGGAAATCTTAAACAACAGTTTTCTTTACTCCCCAAATTTCCAACTGATGTCTCAAAGTTTTCTTTTCCCAGCCTCAAGTCAATGAATTTAGATCGTGTATTTTCAGAAAACAGCCATCACTTACACCAATCTGCTTTTAAGAGACTCTGATCTTGGTTATAAAGAGACTTAATGCAAGCCTCCAGTTGAACTTGGGCTTGAGTCGCCCCTGTAATAACATGTTTCTCTGAACTGCCTCAGGGTACCATTTGCCTCCAACCTCTGCTTTGTATCAGGTGACTGGAGGGCCAGCAGCAAACAAAAACAAAGGTAAGCCATACTTTTTGTTCCCTGAAAAAATTTGAGAATTGTTTTTAAAAATATGCTTTCTGAGGGGAGCTCAAAAAAAAAAAATGAGCTCTGTTGCACTCCTCAGAATACACCAATATCTTTTCTGGCCTAGCTTTGTGTATTTTTAAATATAGTACCTCTCAATATGTGAGCTTGCTTTTATGAACCTAGCACCCTAACAAATAACATTTGTAGTTTGTTAAAATTTTTCAGTTAATCTTTGCCTATTTCAACTGTATATTTGATAATGACTTTCTCTGTGATAATTGTCAGCAGTTTATTTCTCCTCTAGCTGCATCGTTTTTCAGAAAAACCACTTTTGCAGTAACTTAATACTGAATTTATTATAGCATCAAAAGTTTTTCTTCAAAGCAGGTTTGTTAGCTATCCATTGAAGAAAAAAATCTTAAATCCAAAAAACTTCCTAATGATGGAGAAAAAAAAAGCTGTAACTACAGGTAGATACATGTGGCAAAGTTACTGAAAGGTATGAACTATTATGAGTTGAATAAGATAGTTTAGGCAGAAGGACTCAATAACTAATTCTTTCACTAACAACTCCTAAGTAATCAAACACTGTTTAATCTAAATTTAATCTAAAACTGTTGTTAACTGAAAAACTTACTTTAGTGATACAGCTCATGTTAATATAGAAATATCTCAGAAAGCTTCATAACATAATTTACTTCAGCCTTTAGCTAATTTAAAATTTAGTTTGATAATAGAAAGAGTATGTCTTGTGAAAGTATTCATAGATTTTTAATGTTTCAGTAAATTCACAAATAAGGAGTTGAAAAATTATTACATGGAAAAGTTTTTAAATACTTTAAAAATAACTTATGAAAAAATTCATCTATGGAAATTCAGTATTCCTAGTCTTTATGAACTTTATGAGAATTGTAATATATAACATATTTTATAGTAACACTCTTTTTTGTGAACTTGATACTCTCTTGGGAAAAACCTTAGCAAATTTATTAAAATTATACTTATATCGTCATCTATAATAACTTGCTTGTTGAAACCTGAGTTGCCTTAGTTTAGCACATTCCTCACATTTTTCTACATTTTGTAGAATTATAAATGCTGCGAATTTCTATTAGGAGCAATGTCCTGTGGTCTATAACAGCATGAAGACTTTCACTTAAAAGTAGGTCAAATTTCACAATAGGTCCAAATGAATAAACCCCATGTATAGTTGTAAAGAACAAATCATACTCTTCAAGGACCTCTACTTCTTAGATACAGTCTATTGGGTGGTTCAATAATGGGCTATTATCCTACATTGGAAGTGTTGGATATTTGTCATAGGCAGTACAAAACGACCTTATTTCACCCTTAGTCTGACCCAGAGCCTGTGATTGGAACATTTCTCAACTTCCTTGTAGTGTTGGGAAATTCTCTTAAGGTTACATTGGGAAATGCGGTTTGTGTAATTAGACAAACATTTTCAAGTTATATAGTTTGTGTTATTAGACTGCATGCACTGAATGGTTTTGAACAAAGTGTGTTTTTTAAGGAATAAGGACTCTAAATAAAATAAGTATGCATTTCACATGTATGCTTGGTATATGTATGTTACTATGCTTACGCAGAAAATCAATTTGTTTACTAACATCCAAGTGCAACATATTTTTCATATCCTGAGACAGAACAATAAAATTAGTGAAGTTCTTCAGTGATCCTTTTGAAATACATAAAAACAAATATATATTAGCTATTGCAATTTGGTGTTTCGCCAAAGTTGGTTTTTTTTTTGTTTGTTTTTGTACCTAAACAAAAAGATTTCTTCTGGTTACATCATATTGTTAAAATATATTTACATCATATTGTTAAATCTTGAAGAGCTCATGCTGACTAGCACATTCAATTGCAATGAATGAGAGCTTTATCATTCATAGGTCTACGTGCAGTGGTAACCTGGTGTTTGGGCGCAGATATGGGATATCTATGTAGCTAATTATACATGGTTCAAACCTATAAAGAAAAATACTTGCAAATACAATTTCACAAGGTCTTTTTTTGTGTGTGATTACTTAATTTCAATAGGCTTGACAATGTACGGCAAAGCTTACTAAAGGTTGACAGGGGTGTTTCTGGTAGGAAACCTTTGTTACAATGCAAAAGGGCTTTGCAGTTTCAGGCCATGAATGAATCAAATACCAGGTCAGACCAGGGTGGTGAGATGCTCAGAGAGCAATCCAGTTCAGAGGAATTGTTATCTGAATTAAAGATCTCTCCTGTGAGAAAATTCCACCAGAGACAATGGGGAGATAGCGGTGGACAAGATTTCATCCCATATTCATAAATTTTAAACATTAGAATTTAAGTTCCATTCATATAACTTCCAAAAGGTGACACTGGTATGCAGAGAAACAAGTAAGTACCAGTACTATGTTTGGATAAATAAAATGCTATCTTTATTCATCACTCCTTCCCACCACCAAAAACAGTATTATGATATATTAGAAAGGCAATTAATAAAAAAAAATTGAAAAGTGAGATTTGGGACTTTTACTTGTGTGCCAATAATGGTAACAGATCCTGGAGATTAAGATTTTCATCTCTGTGCCATATCGACTTCTATTATATTGGGTGGATTTTCTTATTTTGTGTTATAAACACACCAGGGTGGTTGGACAGAATTCAAAGAAAACTATCAGATTTGATAAAGGACCTCGAAGAGGAAAATATGAGCAGGAATAAGCAGAAATATAGTGTCATAAACATGGAAGACTAATGAAAACATAGAAGTTAATCTTCATTAAAAATGGTACAATTGATGAAATACAGTGGAATTGAAGTGCTTAAGAAAATCTGAGACAAAAAAAAAAAAATGCCCTGAAGTAAAATAAAGTCCGGTTTCCTGAATTATTTCAAATTAGGTTAGATAAAACACCAAAACTAATACACAGTGTAATGAAAGAAAGAGAGACCAATCATTTCTTTTATGTCCAATTCCTGAAAATATTTTTGCTGTTTTGGAGTTTTGTATTGTTTACAGTCAAGGGAGGTCAATTACTCTACAGCACCGTTTTCTCACTTGTAATAAATAAAATCCTGGCATTGTACACTGTCCTCTGAGGTACCTAAGAAGAATTATTTCTTCAAACCTATCTGCCCATGTTCCTACTACATATCTACTAAGTCGCTAACCATTGTTAACTGTAGATAATTGTTCCCATAGATAATTAACCACCCCATAATGAGTTCATAATACCTACATGTCAGAATAGAGTGCTCACTTAAACTTCCGGCTGATGATATTTGAAAAAAAGGACTTTTTCTTGCCAGATTGCAGAAAGACATCATTGCCTGAAGTAACTTTATAAAAAAAATCATTGAAATCAAACCAAATTCACATACTACCTTGTTTTAAGAAGTTATGCTGATTCCGTAGTTAGAATCAATGGTATTGTCTGTGTTCCCAAAGGACTTTATTCATCTTTTAATTAAAGTAATGGTTTTTGAAGTGTGCACATAGTACAAAATCTTAACAGAAGCTGCCTCCTAAGGAAATATCATCCAAGTCCTACTCTCATCTCTCCCTCAACCACCCAGTTCTCCTTCCTGGATTTAGGCAATGAAACCATTTCTTGAGTCTTCTTCCAGAGAAATTCCTCACTATACAAGTTACATTTATATCCCCTATCAGAAAAACAATGGCAGCATTCTATACATGTCTTACTTTAAAAAAATTGTAAATATATGTACTTATATAATATATATATAACATAATTTAAAGAATAATTATAATATCTAATGAATAGCCACATCAATTTGTAAAGCCAGCCTTATTCTTTGTTTTAGCTATTAGTATTCCAACCTATGGAAGACCCAGCTTATTTAACCACTCCCTTATAGGTGAACATTTGTTTCCAATTTTGGTCATTATAAACAATGCCACAATGAATAACTTAGAATCAAAATTTCTAGGTGAAAGGTTATCTACATTTGTAATTCAGATATTACTGTTCAATCTTATATTTCAATTGGAAATGTACTGTAGTTCTTTTATTTTGTCTTTATTGCAATCAATTTGGAGTCAGTACCTGAAAATCTTACCTTCCTTAGATTCCGTACCTTGCATAAGCTCATTCAGAATGGTGGGTGACTTTGCAAGGTCAGGCTAATCCCAGTTTTCAAGTGATTCCTGTTACGACTGAGGCAGAATGTGAAATTCAGCTATGTTTATTCTGAAGCAAAATTATGTATTCTGTCTGTACTCTCTGGTGTTTCAACTGTCTGCCTATCTCTTCCAGTCTTGCACCTGACATTCAAAATGAGGATCTGAAGAACCCAGATCAAACTCTCCTGTTTATATGTCATTCTGGTTTTTAGGCCTGAGGTTCCTGTACCAACTCCCCAACTCTTGCTTCCCCCGCCTGGTATCCCAGCTTTTCTGGTCAATGATTTGAGTCATGTTTTGGAGGAAGGGGTAAGATATAATTTTGACTGTGGCTACTGAAAGGACTTAAGTAACATCTCACAGACCACTAGACTTCTTTACATTTTGAAAACTTTAATTAGAAAGCTTAAGATTTAAATCAATGTTATTTTAAGGAGTTTCGCTAAAAACAGGTTGACAGAGGGAACATTTTATTCAAAATGTGAGCCTATGACTTTGTGTGCTTTTCCAAGAAAGCTGTTGATCTTGGCTGTGAGAAATTTCAAATCCTAAAGGAAAAGTAGTACTTTTTGACAAAGACTAAATATATACTCCTATATAAAGACAATTCTTTCTCTTTCATGTTGCATTTCTTAAATCGCAAAACATTCCTGCTTTATGGCCTCTCACACTGAAGAGTGGATTTTCTACTAGTACAGTGACACTGAACAGCAATTTTCATGCATTTACAAAACAAACATATTTTTAGGGAGACTGAAAGAGAAGCAGTTTTGAAAATGAGGGTAGGATAGTACATCATTCTAAATTTTGTTTAAGTAGAGGAATGCCAAGGTTATTTGAAAATGACATG